TGAACATGTATTTCTTGCCATCCAGTTTGCATAATATAATACACTTAGATGTTTACTGTTTTAGGGAACGTTCATGTCTACGGCCTTTTTATGAATTGTTTCCGATTAAAAGAATGACTTAACCCTAACCAAACTCAACCCATCACAGCCCAACAGCAGGTTTTGTTTAAATCTGTTGGGATAGGTACAGTACCCCTAAACTGAAGGTCTCTTATGCTGGGGTTGTCTGCAGACCTCCAGAAACTAAGTCCAACAGTGTGTGTGTACAATTTCCCATGTGGGTGTTGGAATTTGCCAGAATCATGGGATATGGTTCCTAGTTAATTAGGCAGGGGAGTTAGGGCTGATATAACATATATAACTAATAATATATATCAAAAATTATCTAATAATATATATCAAAATATTATATGATGTACAGATCTGGACTAAGCAGTTCATGCAGAATAAAAGATGGCCTCACAATAAATATTATTTCACTAATGCAGCCACTCTGTTAATTCTTTGAAGACAAAAATGTTCTGTAAAAAAAATCACAATACGTGAAGTTTGAAAATTGAATTTGTATCCGTTGTGTTTCAATTAACTCTGAAACTCCTTCAACCGCGCTCCCAGTCGCCATCTTTTTCCAAAACTATGTGTATTTGGTTATTACCACAGGAATTCAAAACATTCTAAATAAATCTGTAATGAAACTGCAACATGTTAATGGTTTGGAGTAATAAGCTTCCACTATAAACAGTGAAAGGGTCATTCAACACAATAAAATCATGTAATCATGCATGGTGATGCATGACTAGTGCAAAGACGGAGCAATGTACATTTCTTGTCCTGCAACTATGCCCAAGGTAAGACTGCTAAAGAGCTTGAGATTTAATGGCTCTCAGCTTATACATTGGAAAATAAATTTATTTAGTATTGAAGAAAAACATAATTTTGGACAAGAGATAAATGGTAAACTTAATTTTCATTTTTGGCCCTGTACTTTACACATAATTTACTCTTCACAATTGCTAGATCTTGTGGATACTTGGCCAAGGAGTTCAGGCAGAATTATTTGTTTGTATGTACATGCTGCCTTTTCCACCATAACCTTACAAAACTTGTCGCCTCATTTGATTCTTTCAATAAACACGTCTTTCAAAGTAAACACAACAAAATCACAATATTGACATTTGGACAAGAACATTTGAGTTTGAATTTGATAATGATAGGGACGACACCTGTCCAGCACTAGTCCTTGATCTTCATCTATTGCATAGGGGCATTTGATTTCTAACACACCCTCCATACAGCACTCACAAAAAAACCTTACCATTAGGGGAAGCCGCAAGGTAGGGAAAGTCAGGGTGCACTATCAGGCCACAAGTGGTAACTCTTAAGCCCTCATGACAATGCTTCTGTTGCCAAAGATACTTCGATCTGGCTGCTGCTTCATGTGTGTTTCCCCACCTAATACTTGGTACAGGTATTTGGATAGAAAGCTGGCCCATGGGGTAGCAGATTGATCTTATCATACTTATAGATGGACTAACTAATTTAGTGTTAATTGCTCTTTTCATGTTGGATGCCGTGATGCGACCGGCCCGGAACATGTTCCATGAAGAGTTATGCGCTTGCCCTCTTGTTTTCATTTCTATGTAGTCTGCTTCCTCTTGGGTAAGGATGATGTTTGGAAACAGTTCCTCTGCCTTGCCCTTGACCTCATCACTACCCAAATCAGCATGTAATGATTTGAGAAGATTCAAATTGCCTGTAGGAATACAAACAGAGTTAATTTACTCAGTGATATCATCATTTACTTCCTAAATTATGTTCTTAAAAATTAAGAGTTTGTACTGTAAATCTCAAGTAAAGTTCTGAAATGATCACATTTTCCAAAAGATTCCCCAACTTTTAATGTCCTGGCAGAATGTATTCCATAAGAAATACCATTTGTACGTAATGTATTTAATGGTGGTTGAGACTTCAACTTCCATGGCAGCACAAGGGGGTTTAGAGGACAGTCCCCAAGCATGGCCTAAACCTGAACCAGGAAACACATCCATCAGCAAGCACTGCCATCCTCATGGCATCTGTGTGTAATGGTGACCGGTCAGAAGGATTCCTCGGGTCATATTCACACTTCACAACCTCATCCTGTGATTCTCCTGTCTCTAAATTGTAAATATGTTGAGACATTAGAACAATGTTATGGGGACGTTGGAAAGATTCCCATAACCGTCCATCACTTTTCACCCTGTGCACAAACCCTATGGGACTAGTCTGAAAGTTTCTAAGTGTTTTCTTAGTAAAAATTAAAAAAAAATGTCACTGCTAATTGTTTTACTTTTAAGGACATGTTATCACTTTCTCATGGCTGATAGGTCTTTTAAGGGGAAAAAAGGTATTGGCCAGATATGGGAATATTTCCGAGACTTCTGCATGGACATCATACGTACACACATGATGTATTTGAAAAAGGGTCTGAACAGATCGAAGAGGATTGTTTCCAATATGTTATCTTTATTGATTTCAAGAATAACATAGTACCTGCATGGAATTGTGCGTTAGAAACTCGGATGTCGTCCAGTTTTTTCATGTCGAGGTTCTTCAAACGTGGCACATTCCATGTTGACTGTTTAGAAGTTTTTGAAAATTGGCATCCCCGCCTTTTGATGTCTTCCAGAGAAAACAGCAAGGCACCCACATGGCTACACTTTGATGCAAGACTATGTAAATAAAACAAAGCAAGAATAAAGGTGATTATTTTTTTGCATTAAAATTAACAGACAGTTGTCCTCTTTTATTCTCATCAATGGTGCAACTAATGGTTTGATTACATGGGGGTGCACAAGGCTGAACAAGGTTACAGAAGTTCTTTTTGGTTTTCTTAATCAAAATTCTGAGTAGGAATAGAGTGGGCACAAATCTCAAGTAAAGGGGCATGTAGCGGCCAAACTCAGATAGATTTCTCATTTTTGTTTTGCCAAGTGAGGGCGCTGTTGCGGGAATACGGGAGCTAAGCAAAAAGCAACATGGCTTCAGCTCAATCATGTCAATGACGACAGAATTTGCAACCTGTGGAATTCTTCGCCCAAAGCATTAACTGGCCAAGGTTTATTAAACGGTTGGTTACTCTTAAATAATTTATATCAATGATTCAGTAATTAATGTGAGATTTAGTGATATTTTGTAAGCCTACAAGTTGTACAAATGTACATGTATTTTCCACGCATGTTATTTTGGATCTTGTTATTAAGCACATGTACAAGTATCATACAGGGTGTACATAAACCCTTCTTGCATTTAGGTCATGGCCGATAAACTCATCTGTCCTTGTACATTGTAGGGGCCTACACATGTGTACGTGTATTTAGCCTTTAGTTTGGACATTTGTGTGCAAGTATTTAGAGTACATGTACATGTAGGTGATATGTAATTCAGTCAGCTGATTCTGTTAATTAGGTTACACAAACTCGGGATTATTTCTTGTAACACATATGTAAGGATGTGCAGGTACCAAAATTCGCATGTTCCCAAATAATTCGCCAAGCGCGGTAAGTGACAGCGCCACCAAGCGGTGACACGCCATTCCCCATCGTGCTGTCTCCCTTGCCGCTGGCCTGCGCACCGCTTGCTTTTAATAGGTAAATATTCTCCTTTTTTATCGAATCATCATTCATGAAACAGTAGTATTTCAATGTATTAAGGACTCTGGCACAATATAATGAGGTATAGGGGTAGAGTATTTTAATGAAACTTAGTGTAAATTAGGATTTTCGCCCCGTTTTCCGTTGCTAACGAAATTTGATGGAGGCCCTCTTGCGTTCATATTTAGAAAGTGTACATGACATGTCGCCCTGAATCGCTGTGTTTTCATCATAATTTCTGGTCAAAGCTTGTCAACTTGTTGTTCAATTGATTATTTTGAGTGTGTTAACTTAAATTACATGTGTGTAAGTTCCTTCACTGATTTATAGACATAACATTTCTAGGTCAGGTCATTGTATTAAGTTGATAAATTCACAGATTTTGAGTGACACAAATCCCAGAATTTTGATGAATTGGATTTAATCTCTGAAATAATTATTGTCTTTAGAGAGAAATCCCTTGCTACAGTAGGTAATTGATCCACAGTCCTTACTTTTACTGTATAGCATAATTTATGTTTAATGGCAGCCTGAATTAATTCCCTGTCATCACTGTCAATTGAGAAATTCTGGTTTTTACAATGAAATTTATGTGTTTCTTGGAGAGATTTACAGTTAAGTTGGGTATTGTGCTCTCACACCTCGACAACTCTTTCTCATAAATTAAATGCTCTCTTAGATATTTATAATTTATGTACAATAAGGTCTCCCTCAGGATTGATGTTACATTATACTTATTGGTTTTCTTTTATTTTTCTCCCTTTTCTGTCATTGTTTGTAATTGTTTAATTGATTCCCCATCGTGCTGTCTCCCTTGCCGCTGGCCTTGCTTTTAATAGGAATAAATCCATGGAGTGACTCGAACCCACGTGTTGGTGTGTCTATTAATTTATTCGCACCCATCACTAGCCCGAGCTGGCCTCCACACATACATTTTATTTTCCATTTTATTTATTGTAGTCAATCTGTGCCTATACCTGAGCCCACAAGTGTACGACTACCAAAACTGTCAGAAGTCGGACAATAAAATCATCTGGATCTGCGCACAGCATATTTTCGTTAAATCTTTGGCAGATTCATCATTGACGTTTACTACCAGGATGGATAAAGGGGCAGAAGACCTTACCACGCAAGGAGCTACATGTCATGACCATGAGAAAGTTGACATGGACAGTGAAGATACTGCTTTACATGAATCATCGAGGGCAAGAATGCACACAGAAAAGGGATTTGCCTTACCAAAAGGACATGAAAGCAAAGGGCGTGTCACAGCTGTTCAGGCAAATAAAGTCGAAAACTGAAAGGCTTGAACTTCTCATGAATGAAAAGCATGACCAAGGTGAAGTACGCGCTGAATATAAGGAATGGATGTCAACTTACGAGGACTTGCTCAAAGAGAACAGCGAGTACTGTACTTTGCTGTCCAAGGAAGAATTACAGGAGTATCTGGACAACAGTTGGGACAGTAGAGATACTTACCTGAAGAACTTCAAGGTGTATTACTCCAACTGGGAAACGGTCCGGTCACAGAAGGAGCAAGATGTCGGAGTTCCACGCCAACGCCATGGCACCACTGACAGCGAAAACCTGACAAGCATATCACGCATCAGTGGAAGGGGCTCAAGAACTTCCATTGCCAGCGCTATATCATCGGCACGACTCAAGGCGGAGCAGGAGAAAGCGGCTTTGGAGGCAAGAATGAAGGCACTCAAGAGGAGACGAGAGATAGAGATGGCCAAGTTGAAATTGAGGTTGGAAGAAGAGGAGCTGAATTTGACCACAGAACTGGACATTGTTCATGCCAAGGAAAAAGTTTTGGACAGTTTTTTATTACAATCAAATGCTGTTTCAATTAGAGATTCAAATTCAGTTAAGCAGTTGAATAATGAAACTTTGTCTATTGTAGCACAACCCAATAACCAGTCACACTTGGTAGACCAGACAAATAGTGGTCAATCTGCACTAAATGTGAATGCTCATAGTTTTACACCAGAAAGTCATAACCAAAGTAGTAGTGTACAAGTACATGGTAAACAAAGTTGTAATAGTTCATCATGCCATAGTGTACCAGTGCCATTGCATGTCAATAATGACCATTCTGTTTCAGCTCAAGGTGACAAGCACTGTGACAGCAACCGAAGTGGAACTGGCATGTCAGGTGACAACGCTCTTCTTGCAGTTGTCAGACAACTAAAAAGGCCTACTCCTGAGATCAAGCGGTTTAGTGGGGAACCAGTCGACTACCGGAAATTCATCCGGCAGTTCAACACTAAAGTGGCAGTACATACTGATAATGACGATGAGCGAATGAGCTACTTGGAGCAGTTCACTACTGGAGAGGCATATAAAGTTGTCTCAGGTTTCAGCCATCTTCCTGCTGAGCAAGGATACCCTGCAGCTCTAAAAGAATTGGCATCTAGATATGGAGACGTGCATCTCATGGCCCACTCCTTCATCAAGAAAGCACTCGATTGGCCATGTGTTCGTCCGGACAACCCGAAGGCACTTGATGACTTCTCAATTCTGCTGGTTGAGTGTGAAAATGCTGTAAAATGCATTCAAGCAGTGAAGGTCCTCGAGTACCCCGACAACATGAGGAAGTTGGTGGGTAAACTACCATTCTGTCTTCATGACAGGTGGAGAAATGTTGTTCGGCAGACCTCAGACAAAGGCGAGACTGTCCAATTTAGCCAACTGGTTCGATTTGTAAAGATGGAGGCAAAGAAGGTGATGGATCCCATGTACGGCAGAGAGGCCCTGAGCCAAGATGTAAAAGGCACAGGGGCAAAGGTCGTCACCAAGCACACCAATCGTTCAAGGGGCAGCTTTGCAACCGAGGTTTCAAGTGGCCAATCCGAGCAGACATGGCGTAACAAAGAAGGAGACAACAGGTCGACAGCAGTAAAGTCTGGCAATGAAGTGAAGAACGTGTGCATATATTGCACTGACACAGGCCATCATACTGACAAGTGCAAGCGTCTGTCCAGTTTGCCTCTGTCTGAAAGAACAGAGTTTGCAAAATCCAAAGGTCTATGTAACGGATGTCTCAAGCGTGGTCACCAGAGTAAGGAGTGTCGCCATAGATCCACTTGTGACATTTGCAAACGTCGACATCCAACCTGCCTCCACGATGAGAACAGAGTTCCCAAGCCCGAGTCAAAGCCTAATCCAGATGGCAGCAGTGGGCAGTGTGCAAACTTTGCATAGTATGCAGGTGGTAATACGAGGGCCGGTCAGCAGGGTCAATGCACCATGGCAATTGTACCGGTTAAAGTCCGGCTGAGATATGGTATCAAGGCTGTACCAACGTACGCATTCATGGATCCTGGAAGCACGGTTTCCTTCTGTAGTGAGAGTCTAGCCCGGCAGTTGGGAGCAAATGGTCCATGTAAGTCCATTACATTGGACACCATGGGTAAGCCCTACTCCATGAAGACGTATCTCATCGACGGGCTGAAGGTCAGCGACTTAGACATGACGAACGAGATTGATCTTCCAGTCATGTATACCAAAGACACAATACCAGTTTCCCAGCACCATATTCCAAAGACTGATGACATCTCCAGGTGGGACCATCTTAAAGACATCAGCTTGCCTGAAATAGATGCAGACATTGGACTCCTGATTGGTAACAATGTGGCAGATGCCTACACCCCGTTTGATCTGAAAACTGGTCCAGCGGGTAGCCCTCATGCTGCAAGAACTATGCTCGGTTGGGTGGTTTGGAAGGTGATGAGAGACGCTGAAGAAGTACAGAGTGACATAAGTTGTAGTTTCTCTGTAAACAAGGCTGAGGTCACAGCAGTAGCAGAGGTAGATCAGCTCAAGCATCTGGATAGATTAGTTAGAGAGACCATCAACATGGATTTCCCCGAGAGGCTCATTGACGACAAGAAAGAGCATTCTCAAGAAGACATCATATTCTTGGCGTCGGTGAACAAGTCTATCACTCACAGAGATGGTCACTACTGTATTGGTCTACCTTTCAAAGCAGAAGATGTAAAGCTACCTGACAACAAGTCAATGGCATTGAAGCGCCTTGATAGTCTGAAACACAAACTACAGAGAAACAGTGAATTCGGCAGTGACTACAAAGAGTTCATGTTCAAGATTATGAGTGAAGGCTACGCCGAAAAGGTCCCACAAGAAGACCTACATCGGGCAGACGGCAGGATGTGGTATATTCCGCATCATGCAGTTTATCATCCCCGCAAGCCCGATAAGATTAGAGTAGTCTTCGATTGTGCGGCTACATACCTGGGTTCATCTTTGAACAACGTCTTACTCCAAGGACCAGATCTCACAAACAGTCTGATGGGTGTACTCCTGAGATTCCGTCAAGAGGGGATAGCTATAATGGGAGACATAGCCACAATGTTTTTCCAAGTAAGAGTTCCCAGTGAAGACCTTGACTGCCTCCGATTCTTCTGGTGGCCAAATGCCAATCTCAAAGAGCAGCCGGTTGCCTATCGTCTGAAAGTCCACCCATTCGGAGCAGTGTCGTCACCGAGTTGCTCAAGCTTTGCTCTTAAGCAAACTGTTGAGGATAATGTTGGTGACTACGGAGAGGCTTCATGTGACATAGTGAAGAGAAGTTTCTATGTAGACGACTGTCTTGTCTCGGTTGGTACAGAACAAGAAGCTGCTCATTTGATCCAGAGTACCACAGCCCTGTGCAAACAAGGTGGCTTTCATCTGACAAAATGGGTGTCAAATAGCCATGAGGTTCTTCAGACGGTGCCAATAGAGGAACGGGCAAAAGACATCAGAGAGTTGTCGATTGAGAATCAGAACCTTCCCAATGAGCGAGCTCTGGGGGTTTATTGGTTTGTGGAATCAGACAGCTTGGGGTTCAAAGTCAGTTTGCCAAAGCAACCTGCAACACGACGAGGAATACTTTCTATCACGAGTTCCGTTTATGATCCTCTGGGTATCGCAGCTCCTTTCGTGTTGAAGGCCAAAATTCTCCTTCAGAGTCTTTGTCGACGAGACATAGGATGGGATGAAGAGATCCAGGGAGAAGATCTTAGAATCTGGAATCAGTGGCTCAGTGAGGTGAAAGACCTGGATCAGCTTAGGATCAGGAGATGCTACAAGCCTTCAGGGTTTGGGCAGGTTGTAAGCTGTCAGCTTCACATCTTTGCAGATGCTAGTGACGTAGGGTATGGTGTGGCTGCCTATCTCCGGCTTTGTGATGAATCTGGGCGCATCAGCTGTTCGCTTGTTACAGGCAAAGCAAGGGTTGCACCTTTAAAGAAGATGACTATCCCGCGTATGGAGTTGACAGCAGCAACCATCGCAGTTAGACTTGGCAAAGTGCTTACTAAAGAGCTGGACTGCGACATACACGGCACCTAATACTGGACAGACAGTATGACGGTATTGCGGTACCTCGCAAACGAGAGTTGTCGCTTCCAGACCTTTGTTGCAAATCGCATTGCAATAATCAGAGATGCCTCTTGCTTGCAGCAGTGGAAGTACGTGAATACCAAATTCAACCCTGCTGATTGCGCAACACGTGGTCAGTCAGTGAAAAGGTTTCTTCAGTGCTCCATGTGGTTTGAGGGTCCAGGCTTCCTGTCTCAGCCAGAAACAGAATGGCCTCAGCAAGATGCCGATCTTACCAAGCTACCAGATAATGATGCCGAGGTGAAGAAGACTGTGCTGATGACAGCAGAGATACCTATCAGTCCGGTTGACAGACTTCTGGAGCACTATTCAGATTGGACCAGGCTGAAACGGGCAGTTGCTTGGATATTGGTTGTGATGAAGCGCCTCCAAGATAGAGTAGCTGCAAGCGAGAGGTTGAAACAGGAGCCAGCACAGCAAGAGTTAGAACAGCAAGAACCCAATGTGTTGCACCGTTCATAGAAGCTGGAATCAGAGCAGAGCAGAGTTAAGCAAACTCTTTCATCAGGTGACAGAGAAAGTCTTAACCATACTCGACTTACCACAGAGAACCTTGAGGCTGCTGAGAGGGTTTTAGTGTACCATGTCCAGCAGAAACATTGGAAGGACGAAATCAAATTGCTCAACGTGACGGAGGGAAAACCATCCTCGGTAGTCAAGAAGTCTTCTTCATTGAGAAAGCTTGATCCTAAGCTGGTAGATGGACCTCTACGTGTTGGTGGTTGGATTGGTAGAGCAGGTCTCGACTTTGAGTCCAGGCACCAGGTACTGATGCCAAGAGACTCACCTGTCTCCAGGCTTATTCTTCAGCATATACACAAGTCAGTTGGACACTTGGGCAAAAATTCCATCCTAGCAGAGCTTCGACGACATTACTGGATAATTGGAGCACCTTCTATCATCAAGGGTATCGTCTCGAGGTGTGTCACTTGCAGGAGATACCAAGCCCCGGCTGAGCAGCAGAAAATGGCCAGTCTGCCACGAGAGCGACTTGCGTTGAATGAACCTCCATTCAGCAAGGTTGGAATGGATTATTTTGGTCCCTTTGAGGTGAAACGTGGTAGAAGTATGGTGAAGAGGTACGGGGTCATATTCACTTGTTTGACTTCGCGAGCTGTCCACTTGGAGTTAGCGCATTCACTTGACACGGATTCATGCATCAATGCAATCCGCAGATTCAGTGCCCGTCGTGGATCATTAAAGAGCATTCTCTCTGACAATGGAACCAATTTGGTTGGCGCAGAACGTGAGATGCGTGAGCAGATGAGAACCTGGAACCAACAGAAAATCCATGACAACTTGCTACAGAAGGGCATATCCTGGCAATTTAATCCTCCAGCAGGATCACATTTTGGAGGAATATGGGAGTGTTTGATTAGAAGCGTCAGGAAGATCCTCTACTCTCTGATGCGAGAACAGCATGTTCATCTGAGTGATGAAGCTCTCCAAACTTTGTTGTGTGAGGTAGAAGCTATCATGAATGGACGACCACTTACCGAATGCCCTAACAGTCCCAACGACCTAGATGTCCTGACTCCGAATCATCTGCTTCTTCAACGGTCGGGCGAGAGTCTGCCTCCTGGGTTGTTTGACAAGCATGATAAATATCCTGTTAAGCAGTGGCGACAAGTTCAGTATTTCGCAGACCTCTTTTGGAACAGATGGTCGAAGGAGTACCTGCCTATGCTTCAAGAAAGGCGAAAATGGACCCACCCCAAGCGGAATGTGACTGTGGGAGACATTGTGTTGGTGGTTGACTCTTCGCCAAGAAACTCATGGGCGCTTGGCAGAGTACTTGAAGTTGTCAAGGACAAGAACGGATTTGTTAGAAGTGTCAAGTTGAAGACAAAAACTTCTACTTTAGTTCGCCCTGTAACAAAGCTATGTCTTCTAGTTGAAGGCAGTGTTGAGTAGTTGTCAGTATTTACAGACATATTGTTATGCGTTGTATCCACCAAGATTTCAAGTGTTAGTTTAAAGATAATAGTAAAGTTTGACCTTGTTTATTGGTATTATGTAATTGCTTATTGATTAATAACCAATTAGAGGGCCGGTATGTAGCGGCCAAACTCAGATAGATTTCTCATTTTTGTTTTGCCAAGTGAGGGCGCTGTTGCGGGAATACGGGAGCTAAGCAAAAAGCAACATGGCTTCAGCTCAATCATGTCAATGACGACAGAATTTGCAACCTGTGGAATTCTTCGCCCAAAGCATTAACTGGCCAAGGTTTATTAAACGGTTGGTTACTCTTAAATAATTTATATCAATGATTCAGTAATTAATGTGAGATTTAGTGATATTTTGTAAGCCTAAAAGTTGTACAAATGTACATGTATTTTCCACGCATGTTATTTTGGATCTTGTTATTAAGCACATGTACAAGTATCATACAGGGTGTACATAAACCCTTCTTGCATTTAGGTCATGGCCGATAAACTCATCTGTCCTTGTACATTGTAGGGGCCTACACATGTGTACGTGTATTTAGCCTGTAGTTTGGACATTTGTGTGCAAGTATTTAGAGTACATGTACATGTAGGTGATATGTAGGTGATATGTAATTCAGTCAGCTGATTCTGTTAATTAGGTTAAAACATAAATTTTATTTTCCATTTTATTTATTGTAGTCAATCTGTGCCTATACCTGAGCCCAGAAGTGTGCGACTACCAAAACTGTCAGAAGTCGGACAATAAAATCATCTGGATCTGCGCACAGCATATTTTCGTTAAATCTTTGGCAGATTCAGGGCACATGCCACACCCTTCAAGTTACACAACTGGATTTGACTGAAGATGCCCCCATTACTTTGCAATTTGTGAACAAATTGCCATAAGGCCGTTTTTTTTTAATTACTTGGATTACGGAATCGCCGCCGGAAAAAATCGGAATTTTGAAAAAAATTAAAAAAATCGCCGCCGGAAATTGTCGATTCTGACTACCCCCCCAAAAAAAAAAAAAAAAAAAAAAAGTGCCTATTGTACAAAAAACTCTATATTGCGCGCTGTCCAGGCCTGTAAACCATAGTATTAGTACTGGTTTGATCGAACGACATGACATACACCGCGTTCCCACTTGATTTGGAAAAAGGCGGATCAAGATCCGGCATTTTGGTGTGATCGTTATCTTACCGCAACGAAACCGCAAGTCACGTTCCCACTTATGCTTGATCCACCTTTTCGTAAGGAAATGTTGGGTCCGAAAGGTCACTGAGTTCGGAATTACGCGCGCTCTGTGGGAGTGCCATTGTTGCATGGTTGCATGCTAGGCCAGGATGGGTCAGTTTTCAAACAGCACTATCAGAATTAACAGACAAAAATTACGCGAATTCACCAACATAAATCACGGATCCGTAGAGGATCCGTGCGTGCATAAATTAAAAGGTGAAATCCAACAGAGCCGCTCACGTGTGACATCACGGCAGAAACCAATGCATCGATAAGGGATTCCCTGGTTCTGAAGCTTCTCATTGGTTAGAAACGGTCACATGATGTACTACGACATCATTTTCCAATTTTCTATAATCAATACTTCAGATTTGTCACCCCCGTACGTACCGCGTTATCGGCACTATTCCCATCGCATACTCGTAAGCTTTTCAATGATTCTGTGCCAAAGTGAAGTCTTTTGGTGAGTGTGGACTCAGAGTCATTTATGGATGGAAAAATAAGTAAAATTTCAGGAATGAAAAAGGTTTAGTAATGGACGAACACGCAACAAAAATAAGGCCTATAGTGTAATTTTAGGATACCACGTGCGCTTTTGCATGCGCGGTGCTAGCCCGTAGTTCAGCGGTTGTTTATTGTGCATGTTGTAAACGCTGGAAATGTCCACATGAGCTAGCTACACGCCTGAAAACGTGTTTCTTCGTTCATGAGACCGCAACATTTTCGCGCCACTCGTGCACCGGGCGGATGTTAACAGGTCAAATTGCCGGATCAGATCCACCTTTTGCGTTCCCATCTGATCGTGATCCTGCAATTGCCGGATCTGATCCACCAATTGGGTGACTGTTCATTCTCGTGCCCGTTTTTGTTTCTTCATGTCTCTATGGGCGCCGCCATGTTGGATGATAGGGCGCCCCCATTTTTTTTTTTTTTTTTTTTTTTTTCATTTCCCGCTCGCCGCCGGAAATGGGGACCCAAAAATTCCGTTATCCAAGTAATTAAAAAAAAACGCCTAATGTTATCAACATTGAACATCAAATGGTGTGGTTCAGACCACTGATCTCTATATAAAGACTGGATAGCGGATATGCATACAACATTCACACAGTAGACTTTGCATATTGACCAATTCGCCCCGGTCTCACGAAGATGGCCGCGTATAATACGAACGTTCTACGCGTAAATACGCGCGCGTTGTATCAACAGTTGACGCGCATTTTGGTCACGTACACATATTGTGATGTTCTAAAAGGGACACATTTCCGTAGTGATTATTATTTCAAAAACGCCGAAAAAGTGATCTGCAGCATTATAAAAGTAACCACGACGTTAGAAAAACTGTAGTTAACCTTGTTCAGTGGTAGCGGCCAAAATATAAGTCAAGTGAGCCGCGACGTTACAAAAGAAATCAAGCTGTCTATAAAGACGGCAACTTGTCCTTTGTAGATCACCAGCCGGTCTCACCAATATGGCGTCAAATTCGTACATTGTGCGGCTCTTTATTAGCTATCCAGTCTTTATAGTAGAGATCAGTGGTTCAGACTCTCAATTAGTATTAAAACATAAGTAAACATTAGCATTGCAAATTGATATACAATTGATTTGCCAGGATAGAGCCTTGTCACAACATGACACAACCTCAATTTCTTTTTAATTTTAAAATGTGTACATGTACGTGTGTATTCAGAGGCATGCAAATCCTGTTTTGCATTGTTTGTTTTTCAATTACTTACCCTACTGGACACTGACAGGTACTGTCAGTGACAACCCCCTGCTCTGTCATGCTAACTTTGACCGTGTACTCTTTGGCTCTCTGGGAGGCTAATACTTTGCAGCAGAAAAAAAGATAATGTTGTTACCATCGCCATCCTGTGATAAGTCATTATTTAAGGGCTAATTTTTATTCTTTTTTTCACATTTAACATGATCCTGAACTGACTGGGAATAACAAATAAGGAAAAATTCCATACTCGATCGTCAATTATCTGCCGCCAAACATATTAATTGTCACTTCAAATACTTCAATTCAATGGCTACTTCAAATACGTCCAAAGATTCATCATTGCAACAGCAATCGTGCGCGGCCAGGCCGCCTAGCGGTTAAGAGTCTCGTGTGTCAAGCACAAGTCCGTGGTTCGAATCTCGATGAAGTAAGTGACTGATTGATAAATAGAAGTAAAGGAAAGGAGAAGATGAAAGTAGAGGAGGGAATAACCATAAAGGACACAACTTTTGGCACTTGAAAATTAATTGAAACAAGTGGCGATCGAATATGGAATTTTTTCCAAAAAATATTT